ACAGTGAGCCTGTCCATAACGTCATTTTTCTCAAACGTTGTCCGAATAGACACTGTTAGCCGCAGTTAAATAATGTTTAGCTAAAGTCTGATATTGAGGGGTTACTGAACGCAAAAGTTCTGGTGCTTGGGCTTCGGTCGTAAAGCACGGATCATGCTCATTCGTGATATTGCGAAAAATAAAACTGATTCAAGTATTTTTTGTTAGCTGATAAAATTACAAATATAAATCAATATAAACCGCCGTTCAGCAAGACGGTTGGGATGGAAAAAGATTGACAATAAACGATCAATGGCGAAAGTCTCAGAATAAGGTATTGCAAAATTGTTTGAGTAGACGTCACCGTATGACGCATTTACCCGTTAAATTCTCAACCATGTAACTATTTTATTCCTCCTTCCCCTCGCATCCCACGTCGGCCTGAGCAAGCGGGGGTGGGTGAGTCTGACACACAATTTACAGATATTTACAGTATAAAGCTAGGCCTCGCGATATGATGCAGAGCAGAATTAAGAAGCATGCTGAATAGCGTCTGAGAATTCAGTGAAAATAGTCCACATTCGTCTCCAGCGCGGAATAAAAAATATTCAGGCTCCCCGAAATTCCAGCATGATCTTCACAAACAATTCCGGATCAAGTGCTGAGGTAGCAGACGCTGCTTCCGCTGAACGGTTGCTGTTAGATAGAAGACGAACATGCGATGTACGTTGGGCGGGCAACTGAGAACGCACGCAAACCCTTTTTTTGAATTAACTGAAGGGACTTTCCTACAACGTCGTAACCGACGCGAACTATTTTGTTCGGCGCAAAGACGGTGAACTTCAAGCAAGGAATGATCCCCAGGCAACAGCATTTCGGAAGATCTGTTTTCACCCGTAGGTAAGAAATAAGTTGTCCAGTGGAGGAGAGTTTTTTGGACAAACTTTGAGATGTCTCAAAGACCTTATGAGGACTTATCGGGAAAATCGATTTGAGTTGAAGATATCGTCCCTTTACTCTACTTCTGGCGAAAACTTGCCCTAGGATATTTAAAAGACTACACTCTTTATCCTGTTTAAGACTGTTAGGATGAAAAATAAGATTGGTTGCACTCCATCTTTATCACACGAATTAAAGTTACAAGTAAAGGAAACACATTTTCATTAAAAATCTTACCAACAGGAGACAGGATCGGTTGTTTTCATTCCCGGAAACCAGCAGTAGTCGTAGATGAGTTCTGACTCACGCATCCAGAGGACAGCTGGCTGGAGAAATGGGTAAAATCAAGAATAAGTATCGAATAGAACGTCCTGTATCTGTTGCCAGCCTAAAAATGCGATGCCAGAGTTGATTGACACCAACCACACAAAAGTACTTGCACTTGCTACAGCTGTGATAACGTTTGATCTAGTCGACTCCAATGAGGTCACGAAATGTATCTCTCTACAAATACCACTTCACCGGAGCATATCTAAACATCTCAACCCCAGTCTTTTCGCCAGCGCTGAGTACTGAATACCGAAGGTACAAGAACCATTTCCAGGTTTTGAGTTAACGCCTGGCCAAGCTGGTAACGGTGTGCGGTCAAGGGCAGCAATACTCAGTCTGTGAGATTGATGACGAAAAACGGGACCATACCGCCCTATACTACTTCCTCGGATGACCTGAGATATCACTAAATTGCCTCGGCGAATATGGACTACGTCAATAGAAAAGAAGTCGGTGCGCTTCATTCGGATGATAGTCCTCAAGTAGCGGTGGTCAGATACCTCCAGTTTTTTCCTATCTTCCACACACACAGCCCAACATTCATGGCGGAGAAGGGCTGACTGGATGGATGCATGAAACACACAAATCTTCGTGGC